GCTGCCTCGCTAGGAATATAAAGAAAAGCAAAAGACAATTCTTGCTCTCAAGGAGCTTGAGTCTGGATCCTCAATAAATACCCTTTCCTTTCTCTGAATGTCCTTCCTCTGCCACGTAGACTGCATCCTTTAGTTGTTACTATTTGTCCTTTGTGCTCAAAGAGGACCGAAATGATATCACTACATTGGGGTCAAGGTACAGTGTATCCAGCTGTGGCTGATTTTCCTGTACGAGCTTGGGAGGCTCTACCACAGGTTGAGCACAAATAGTCTGTATGAACATCTGGGAAGAAGATGTCTCTAAATTTGCACATCTCATGTTTCTCTTGAGTTACCGCAATTCTGCTTTATTCATAGAGCACAGCACCCTCTTTGATGCAAGCTCCTGCCTTGTGGGAGTTCTCTGTAAAATAGTCTTTTGGGCAAACATACGTTTGGCATTTGAACAACATGGCCAGCCCATGGGACTTATGCTCTCTGCAGTAGAGTTTGAATGCTTGGCAGTTCTGCTTGAGAAAGGACCTCAGTGTCCCATACCTTATCTCGCCAGGTGATCTTCAGAATCTTCCCAAGATCATTCAAATGGAAGTGGTTTAATTTTCTGGCATGGAGCTGGTGTACTGTCCAGGTTTCACAGGCGTACAACAATGAGGTCAGCACAATGGCTCTGTAGATCTTCAGTTTAGTAGTATGCTTAGATGGATTGCAGCTGTCTTATTTTGTTTCAATCTCAGACCTGAGACACCAGATTGGTCTAGTCAACTCTGGACCACCATTACTTGGATATCCTATGGGTGTCTCAAATTCAACATGTCCAAAAGGTAACTCATTATTTTTCCTCCTAAACCTACCTGTCTTCTTAATTTCTATGCTCTTGTTGAGTACACCACATTCTTCCAATCCAGGTACAACTCAGGAGCCATCTTTGCTCTTTCCATTTTCTCATTCCTCATATCTAATCAATTGCCATGTCTTCTGAATACTCAAAATAGAGGTCATAGCATACCCATAATAGCAATAGTAATAATAGTATCATTTATTTAGCACCTACTACATGCCAGGCAGTTTGCTAAGTGCTTTACAAATATTATCTCATTTAGTCCTAGGAGGTAGGTGCTATTATGATTCTCATTTTACAGTTTAGGAAAATGAGGCGGACAAAGATTAAGTGACTTGCTCAGAATTACCCATCTAGAAAATGTCTGAGGCCAGACCTGAACTCAAGTCTTTCTGATTCCAGGCCTAGAGTAAAGATCATATATTTTATTCATACTCATACTAATACTACTAGTTAGCATTTATATAATGCTTTAAGGTTTGCAAAGCATTTTACATAGTTAACTCATTTCAGACCTTTAGGACCTCATTTGAAGCCTGTTGACTCTTATTTAGACACATTTCTAATGAGTCAGATTAATTAGTTTCCCAGTGGAACGAAATTAGGCTCAATGAATTAAATCAGGAGTATGCAGAGGCAGGAAGCTAGGAATCTATTTTGGAGTCTATTATAAAGTCCAAGAGAGAGGTGATGAGGACCTGAACTAGGGTAGTGGCAGTGTGAGTGGAGAGAAGGGAAAGAATACGAGAGATACTGTGGAGGTAGGACCAAGAAGACTTTAAAGAACGTTGATGTATATAATAACGAGGAGGTACAGTGGATAGATCACTGGATCTTGAAGTCAGGATGACCTTAGTTCAAATCCTGTCTCAAACACGTACTAGCTATGTGACCTTGGGCAAGTCATTGAACTTCTGTTTACATCAGTTTCCACATTTATAAAATAGGGATAATAATAGCCACTACCTCACTGGGTTTTTGTGAGGATCAAATGAAATAATACAAAGTGATTTGCAAACTTAAAGCATTATATAAACATTGCTATTAACATAGATTGCTGCTTACAATGATAACATTGACACATCAAGAAAAAATGACATTATTTTCAGTATCTTTTATTTAAGAATTCAGGAAAAGTCTTAAGACATTTAGAAAGGCTTCCATCTGGACTGGCTAAAATTTTTTTTAAGGTTTTGGAATAAAAAGGCATAGGATTCAGTTATCAGAGAAGATTCCTTTATCCCAAATTCCTCCCTTGCTAATATTGGCAGATAATAAGGTTTTACTGTGTTATAAAATCAGTACTGTTTCAAAGTCTCCATTCTCACGTCTTAGGAACCAATTGTTACTAACAATGTATCATGTGCTATTGTTGTTGCCTTTGTTATGTCTTGTTCCCCTCCCAAACTGTGAGCTCTGTGAGGGCAGGGACAGCTTTACTCTCCCTGCCCCGCCCCCAGCACCTTACATAGCACTCAGTGTACACAACAAATACTCAATAAATGTTTGTTGAATTGCTGAATCACAGCTCAGTTCTGCCCTGTCTTTCCTAGAAGTCTCCAGCTCCCCAGTTGTCCCCATCCACTCTCAGCCTTAGAATTTAGTCTCACAGCTCACATTTCCTGGGGAGTCCAGTACTAGGTCAGCCATCCAAAGGATTCCCAGGGCCTCAGCTCATCCTTGGAACAGAGGCAGCCAGTGTTTCCTTGGTAAGAGCTAGAGTAGAGTGTGGCTTTTAAGTCCCCACTGCAGGCACGCAGGACAGAGGTGACATGATTAGAAAGGGATGTCAAACATCCTCTGAGACTTACAGCCAGTCAGGTTCTTGGGGGAGCTGTCCAGGAGCTAGAATGAAACACTCATGCAGGAATTTTGCACTACTATGGCCCAGTAAAAAGTTCTAGGACATACATCAGTTGGGCAATGACTAAACAGGTTGTAATATTTCAATGGAATGGAATGTTACTGTCCTGTAAGAAATTATGAATATGACAAATACAAAGAAGTTAATTAAATAGAAATGGGAAAATGATGTATACTGGTGATGCCAAACTAAAATAGAAACAGGGACCACTAATTCATACTTAAGGATCTCTTTGAGCTACATATTCACTTCATTTTAAAGTGTAATATTATCTATGGACTTTTTGCCTTTTTATTTATTTTTAAGTATTTTCCAATTATATTTTAACCTGGTTCAGCAATACTCACCCACATTCAGGCTCGTATGAGAGTCCACAAGAGGGCAGAGTATTTGACACCTCTGATGTAAACAATTACTACAATAATGTAAATAGAAACAACAACAACAATGATAACAACAACAAAGCAAATGCAAGGGAATGCTGGGAAATTATAATGATCAAGCTTGGCCCCAAACAAAAGATAAGGGAAAGTACCTCCCTCCCAAGGGGCAAAGTGGATTGAACTCTTGCCCTGGAGTCAGAAAGACCTGAGTCCAAATCAACCTTATGCATTTACTAGGTGTGTGATCCTCGGTAAGTTGCTTAACCCCATTTGCCTCAGTTTCCTCATCTCCAAAATGAGCCAGTGAAGGAAATGGCAAACACTCTTAATATCTTTGCCAAGAAAACTCCAAATGGGACCACAAAGAAGAGTCAAGACTGAACAACAACACCTCCCTCTAGTCTTGGAGGGGGGAAATAGAGAAGTCTGGGTGTGGAACTTTGTATGTGATATCAGTGTTGGTTAATGTTTTTGTTAGTTTTGCTTAATTTTTAAACAACTAATTTATTTTTAGTTTTCAACATTCACTTCCATAAGATTTTGAGTTTTAAATTTTCTCCCTCTTCCTCTCCTCCCCTTTCCCCAAGAGGGCATGCAATCTGACATAGGCTGTACTTTTACATTCATATTATTTGCTTAATTTTTTCTCTTTTGTTCTTTATTATGAAGAATAGCTCTCTGCAGAAGGGGAATACATTAAAAGATGTAGATGACTGATATAAAAACAAAAGATATCAATAAAAAATTAAAAAGTAATGGACACAAAGGAGGCAATGTGTATAGTGGCAAGAGCGTTAGATTTGAAGTCCTCTGGAGTTCGAATCCTGGTTTGGTCACGTATTAGCTGTGTGACTTTAAGGTACTTAATGTCTCTGTGCCCCAGGAGTTTCATCTGTAAAATTAAGGAATTGGTTTAACTGACTTAACTATAAGATCCTTTCTAGCTATGATCCTGTGAATATAAAGCATAGCTGGAAATCATTCCAGTTTGCTAATTTCACTAATATCAGTAGTTGGCTGAACTTCTGGGCAGCCATTTGATGGTTTTCATTGGTTGCTATAATTTGCCAATTAGCCTGATGCTGGGGGACAGACAGTTCAGTCAGCCAATGATGGTGGATTTAAGAACCCGGGGTTGGGGGAGAACAAGACCTGCCATCTTTCTTTGCCACTCTTTTACTGATCTAATATAAAAGAAAGTCCCTGTCAGTAATCTTGGGGATTCAGTAATACCTGGAGGATATTGGACCTACCATTCTTTTCCCCCTACTTATTAATCCAATAAAACTAAAGATTCGTAATAGAAGCCCAGGGGATTTAGTGATACGTTCTTTGCTAAATGTAAAATAATATTGTGATAAGCATCAAGGAAACACAAAACTTCAAAACAATCAAAACCTGAATTGAGACTCTCTGGACAAGGTTTTCAGGCAGCATGGATAATAAAAATATCAGATCTAGAAAGGATTTCTGAGATCAACTATTCCAACCACCTAATTTTAATGTGTACAGGACACAGAAGCTTTGAGGCAAGTGATTTGCCCAAGGTCACACAGCTAATTAGTGTCTGATTATTAGGGGCAAAGTCAGGACCAGAATTTATGTCTCCTGACTCCTATTCTAGGGTCGCTAGGTGATACAGTGGATAAAGCACAGTGGCTGCAGTCAGGATGACCTGAATTAAAATCTGGCCTCAGATATTTACTAGCTGTGTGACCCTGGGCAAGTCACTTAACTCTGCTTGCCTCAGTTTCATCTGTAAAATGAGCTGGAGAAGGAAATGGCAAACCACTCCAGTATCTTTGCCAAAAAAACCAAACCAAACCAAATGGTGTCATGGAGAATAGAAATGACTCAACAACTAGATTCCCAGTCTAATGCCTTTTCAACTATGTAATCTTGCCTCTTCTACTTCTTTCCAATCATCTTAACCTCAAGGAATTCCTCCAAAATATGTTCATTTTTCAGACAGAGAAGCAGCACACTTGGTCCAAGTCTTAGAGACAAAAGGTCTGAATTTGAGACTCAGCTCTGACATTTAATAACTTGTGTGACTCTGAGCAAGTCACTCTGCCTCTATGGACCTCAGTTTGTCCATTTGTACAATGGGGATAATACTTGCACTGTTTTCAATGACTGATTTCATCTTCCATTTCTCCCACTTTGCACGTGCTTAGGATGCACTCCTTCACTGGAACCTCTTTGAATGCAGGGCTCAGTTCATGTGTTACCTCCTGCAGAGAGTGTTTCCTGATCTTCCAGCTGTTATTGCTTTCTCCTTCCTCAATGTATACAGGGTGTCCCAAAAGACTTGGTGCAGTTTGAAATCTGCTTTAAGCACAAGAAGGAGGTGTCACATGACCTGAGACTTGTAGGAATTCTAAGAGATGGAGATGAATCCAAGCACAAGGAACAGCTTGTGCAAAGGTGTGGAGGTGAGAGATGGAACACATGCACACATACAACTACACACAGACATATATGTATACACATGTGCTTATCTGTTTGTATGTTGTATCTTTTCTACAGTAAGAAGTATACTTACCTGTAACCTGGCCAGTGAAGAGTGAGTTCCATTAGGGCAGGAGTTTTCAGTTAGTCTTTTTGTAGGCTCAGCAACTGCTCAGGGCCTGAATCACAGTAGGCGCTTAATAAATACCTATTGGAATGGTTGTTATGAAGAAAGCATTTTATAATCCTGATTGTACTATAGAAATAGGAGCTGTTATTATTTCTCCTTCTCCTGAACTCATGTAACATTCATTATTCATCTGACACATAGATACTACCTTCAATTAATTTTTTTAAAAAATTGCTAAGAGCACCTGCTATGTACAAAATATTAGCATAGGTATTAGGGGAGATACAGAGCTTAGAATTAAAATTTCATGCTTCTCTGTTGTAAATTCCCTGAGGGTAGGAACTATGGCATCAATGTCTTTCCACTTCATTTCAAAAACAATTATGAAGCACCTACTATGTGCAGGGTGTTGTGCTGGGTTTCTCTGGATCATCACCCTTCACTACCTATCACTCATAGTACAATTATCTTGCACATAGCAGGCAGTAAAATATGTAATTTTTGGATCGTTACTTTTTGAGGGTATTTTGGGTTTTTTGCAGTTTTGGGTTAGGCCAAATAATTGCACTCCCCCGAAAAATCTTTCTCCACTAGAGGGCACTGTGGGTCAGAAACCACAGGGCCACAGCAGTATTTGGTTGAAGGAAAAGGTAATTGCTTCAACTGGGACTACCCAGAGGAGAATGCTTTCACCCTAGGCATGTCCCTGAGTGCTAGGATGATTGGTAGGAGGTTAATAATGAGAATCCTGGCAAATGGAGCTTCTAGTGTACTTCATTACTCCCCAGGTACAACCACTAGGCCCTGTCTTGGTGAATTCCAGACTCAGAAGAGGCAGACCAGGGAACACTGGAATGGTCAGGCCTCCTCTGACCAGAGGGCTGGCTGGCTGGCTAGCTGGCTCTGGACCACGGGAATTACAGCTTCCAGGCTGATCTGGGCAGAGGTATCCCTCAGGCATGGCAAATCTGGCTCTTCTCACTCTCCTGAGGTTGCTATAGGAACCTCAGAATGGAGCCTCTCTCTTTGGGGGGAAGGGAGGGCTAAAAAGACCTGAGTCTCCCAGCCCATAATCCTAACTCCCTCTGCCTCCAGCAGGGATACACACCCAGAACTCCCCCTGATACACATAGCATCACCAAGGCAACCAAAGCCTGGGGCTGGCTGCCTGGCAACGGTAACCCTGCCCCCTTTCCACACACACCTTCATGTTTTCCTTTTGTGACATCTCTTCCTCTTCTATCTCCAGCAAGGCTCCCTTAAGTGGTTATTTTAACCAGATGTCCCTTAAGTACAAGTGTTAGCCATGGAGTTTGAGGCAAAATTATTTCCCCTCCCCCTTCCTCCCCTCATCCTTCAGCCATAGGCCTGAAATCATGGAATCAATTCCAAAATCTAATTGGTAGAATTATGGAATCTCGGAATAAGAAGGAAACTCAGAAGGCCTTCAATTTAACCCATATCTGAACAAGAATCTCCCTAACAGCATCTCTGATGAGGGGTAATCCAACCTCTTCAACATCTCCAGTGAGGGGAAGCCACTAGCTCCCAAGGTAACCAATGCCATTTTGGAGCAGAGTGCATCAAGCAGAGTTTTTTCCTTCTATAGAACCTACATCTCTAAGCCTCTGTAATTTCTTCTAATTATCGCCTCTAGTTCGGCCTCTGTGGCTGAGCAGACCACATTTGCCTCCTCTTTCACGTAACATCTTTTCAAATGGATGAAGATTTAGTTTTCTGTTGAGTGTCCTCACCTGGCTAAACATCCTGAGTTCCTTCAGTTATTCCTAGGGAAGTGAGGTTGGGGGAACATTGCAAAAATGTTCACACACACACACGCGCACACACACACACACACACACACACACACACACACACACACACACATGAGCTGATCCTTGGGATTCTAATTGAAAGAGTATGAGATAAAGGATCACAGAAATGACTTTAGAGACCATCTAGTCTGACCTCCTCTTTTTACAGTTGAGGAAACTGAGTCCTGGAGAAGTTAAGTGACTTGTTCAAGGTCACACAGGTTTTGAACTTGGATCTTCTTACTTCAAAGCTAGTGAGTGGTCTTTCCTGGGCTTCGGGAAAGGGCTGAGTACGACAGCAGCAAAAAATCTAGGAGGGGGGTTTGAAGCAAATGACTCACAGAAAAATTTTCACTAGGAAAAAAATCCCTGAATAAATTCAGGAAAAGCTTTGGTCAGAGCTTAGCTCTTGCTGTTCATCAGAGAGTACTCTAGGAAAGAAATGGCTCAAACATGATAAAGGTGGAAAGAGATTCAAACATAATTTAGACTGAATTAAATATCAGAATATCTGAGATGCTCAAGATTTAGAGCTAGAAGGGGTCTTGCAGATCCAAAGCCTTCATTTGATAGAGGAAGAAACTGAGGTCCAGAATAGTGAAGTCTTTGCCTGAGGTCACACAGGATCAGGACCTGGATTCAAAGCCAGAACTTTTGATTCTAAATCTAGCATCTTTTTCCAAACTGTGATTCTATCTCCACAACGTCTCCTAAATGTATTAGCTTTTTCTACTCTGACGGCCACCACCGTAGTTTGGGCTCTTAGCCCTTATCTCCTGGATTGCAGTAGATTCATGATAGGTCTCCCTGTAAGTAGCCTCTCTCTTCTCCAATCCACTCTCCACGCAGTTGCCACAATGATATTCCTAGAGTATATCTGACCTTGCTTCTTTTCTGCCCCATAAACTTCCATGTGTCGTGATTGCCTCTAGGCATTTAAAACTCTTCACAATCTGCCTCTTATTATTGTATATTACTGATTATATATTGTTGTTATTGTTTAGTCTTTCAGTTGTGTTTGATTCTTTGTGACCCTATGGGCCATAGCACACCAATGCCGTCCATGGGGCTTTCTTGGCAAAGATAATGGAATGGTTTGCCATTTCCTTCTCCAGGTCAGATTTGAACTCAGATCCTCTGGACTCCAGGGTTGGGACTCTTTTCACTGTGCCACCTACCTGCCGCTTTACAATGAATAGTCTGAGTTAATTTCTCTAAGTATTGACTGATTTGATCTTCTTATTGTGCAAGGGACTCTCAAAAGAGCCTCAACTTAGCCCTCAGGAAAATAAGTAGAGTTAGCCTCACTAATCTCTAAGGTCCCTTCCAATACTAAATTTTCTGATCTTATCATTCCACCAAAGATGGGGTTATTGAAACGCAGGGTTGTCAGGAAGAGTTTCCTCTCAGCCAGAAGGCAGGCAAAAGAAGGAGCCAGCCAACTCTGAGAGGAGCCCACAAGGAGTAGAGGAGGGAGGAGTGATTAATAGCAGGGCCAGTTGGTTGACGGTTGGCTCTGGGCCTGGAGGGCAAGAGTCTTTCACCTTGCCCTGGTGGTGCAAGTGGCATTCTCTGTTCTTCCCTCAGCCCTGGCAGATTGGTGGCCCTGGGAAGCTGGCCAAGGGGTTATTAATAACAGCACTGAATCAGGAGGGTCTAGGGTTTCAGTATCACAAGACGGCAGGGCTGAGCAGGTTGGGGATATTCTTGACTTCCCTCCTGCTCCCTGACCACCCCCCTTCCTCCTGCTGAGGCTAACTGATAAGCACAGCAGGCCAGGAGTCTCCTTGCTCAAGCAAACTAAAAGGGGCCTCCTCTTCCTGTAGGAAGTTTACACACACACACACACACAGAGGGAGAGAGAGAGAGAGAGAGAGTGAGAGAGAGAGAGAGAGAGAGAGAGAGAGAGAGAGAGAGAGAGAGAGCGAGAATGCTGGGATCCCTCCAGAACTAATAGGGAAGGAATGATATCAATAGTTCTTGCAAAATGACCATCACAATTGCCGGCTAATTCACTGAGTTCGTTCATTCAACACCTAATATATGCTTAGTCAGGCAGTGTTTTGCTGGGCTCTGAACTTCCAATGATCCGTGGCTTTGTTAATATGAGTGCTTCCTACCTTAGCACATAGATCATAGATCCATTAGCTGCTGGGGAAGAAAAAATTAATCTCCCTAGGGCCAACTTTTAGGTGATCAGGCCACTCTTTTGAATTTGGGTAGGATGAGCCTTGGTTTGAGACTGTAATCTGTCTATCACTGTGGGCATACTCTATGCCTCTCCAGTTTGGTAGAACTAACCAGTATGGTATAGTTGAAAAAAGAAAAGCAAATAAAGAAATATCTGATTAAACTCTAGTTCAGTTATCTACTACCTGTATGACCTTGGGTAAGTCACTTGATCTCTGTATCGGATTATCTCTAAGGTCCCTTACAACTAGGCTCTCATCTAGGCTCTCTTACTTATCAGCTACACTTTGGGCAAGTGACAACCTCTCTGGGCCTTGATTTCCTTATCTGTAAAGTGAAAGGGTAGACTAGATGGCCTCAGAGATCCCTTTCAGCTCTGAGACTATGATCCTGGGACCCCAGGCTGAGGCAAACAGAAACATTCATCAAGCATTTATTAAATACCTACTGTATGTCAGGTACTATGTTCACATCCTTTTATTTTAGTAGTAATGATGGTAAAGATTTGAAGATTGTGTCCTGAGCAAGAAGTGGGAGTTGGGGTATGTGTGGAGGGTAAGGGTGGGGGTTGTCTGACTTCAAGGAATTTATAATCTCTCTAGAAGTAGGGGTAATACATCCTCACTCTTGCTTTGCTCATCATATTCTTTATGGCTGGAATGTCAAACGTTCTCGATTGTTCAGTCATGTCTGACTCTCCATTTGGGGTTTTCTTGGCAAAGACACTGGAGTGGTTTGCCATTTCCTTCTCCAGATAGTTCTACGGATGAGGAAATTGAGGCAAACAGGGTAAGGTGACTTGCCTAGGGTCACATAGCTAGTAAGTGTCTGAAGCTTGATTTGAATTCAGGAAGAGGAGTCTTTCAGATTCCAAGCCAAGTGCTCTATCTATTGCACCACCTGGCAGCCTGTCCTTGATCATCTATCTAAAGTGTAACTCCAATTTAACCTCTTCCAAGAAATCTTCCCTTATCTCAAGTAGGAGATGGCTTTCTCTCACCTAGCACTGTATTTACATCTCTCTAAAGTATTTATCATTTAATATAGTTTTGTGGCTTTTGTTTCATCCCAGTACTCACTAGTACTAGTACATGAGGGCAGAGATCTCTCTCATTTAAGCTTTCTATGTTCCTCAGCATGGAGCATAGTGTTCTGTACAAAGAATCATAGAGTTTGAACAGGAAGGGATGTGAGAAGAGACCACCCTCCTTATATTACATATGAGGAAATTGAGTCAAAGAAAGGTGAAGTAATTTGACCAGGTTCCTATAGCTTATTGTCTGAAGCTGGATTTGAACCCAGGTCTTCCGGACTCCAAGTCCAATGCCTTATACACTACATCACTTATCTACTTAATAATGAATGTTTGACTGAATGAATGATCACCTAATCATTATTATCTAATTTGATAATTTGATTATCATTACTAAGTTTTAAGGAGTACGAAAGGTATGACTATGCCTATTTTACAGATGAGAAAACAGAATTTAAATGACTTTCCCAAGACCACACAGCTAGTAATCTCTGGGGAAAGTTTGAATCAGACTGGGGCTCTGGCCACTATGTCGTGTTACTTCTCACCCAAAATGTTCTTCTCTTTCCTCTCACCTTTTCTAAGTATTACCCAGATCAAGTCTCATATCCTTCATCATTCCTTGACCACCCCAGTCCATAAGGACTTCCTTGTCTTCTAAATTTTTATAACTGTCTACACCCCTTATGTTGCGTATTCATCTTTGTACCATTGGTAATCTTTTAATGTATGTCCTGTTTTTCCAATCCAATTTGCAATACAAACATGAAAAATGACAAGGTCTCTGCCCTTAAAGATTTTATAGTGTACTGGAACCAGGACTAGACTATAACTAGGAGAGAAGGCAAAGACTGTACCTTATCCATCCTTATATCCTTCCCAGCCACAGCATAGAGTCATTAAATGTTTTTTTGATGGACTATCCTAGCATAAAATTCAGGATAAACTAGCTCCATCTTGAACCCAATGTTTCTGGAAAGTTAGAGAACAGTTTGAATTCCTTCCCCAAGGCAGCCCATAAAGATGGTGGGTGGTATTTCAGCAAGGCCCAGTCTTAGCAAGAACACCCGTTATAGAACCATTTATCATTGCTAGGCATTCTGGGTTTGGCCTACTCTTCACTTGGGGAAGGAGAGATAAAACTTTTGGCTTTCCGGTCCTCTTCCCAGTTTGTTGGCATAAGTTTGAGCACATTGGGTAACAGGAAGGGGGTTATCTAAAAAGGAAGACTGGGAGCTGCTGTCGTTGCTTCAGCCAGTCATGAGAAACCACCAGATGGATGAGGCAGGAACAACCACAAAAAAAACTCCTTTCCCCTCCATCTCTCACCTTTCCTTCACCCCAATCTTGACATTTCTCAAGATGTGACTCCCTAGGAAACAGAATGCCTTCCACTTCTCTCAGGGTCAAAGTTGGGGGGAGTGGGGAGGAATGGGTTGGATTGGAACAAAGGGTCCCTCTTTGGGTCTGGGAAGGTCTCTTTTGGGACACATAGGTCGAAGAGTTTAACCACTATAATTGAACCTCAATTACTCTGGATGCTGACTGAGGTGGAGGGTGTGATGGGAGAGTGTATGTGTGGGGGAACTAGGATTGTCTTTTCTAATTAAGTAGGGGCTAACCCCCCTCCCCAAGTACTAGAAGACCTTGCTGTGTTCCCTATCCCAATGCCCTCCTCTCAGTCTTCTCCAAGCTAAACACCCCTAGTTTCTTCATCTGTTTCTGTTATGGCACTGATAAACAAGCACCCTCTTGTTTACCTTTCTCTGGATTCACTTTAGTTTTTCAATATTTTTCCTGAAACAAGGAACTCAGAGCTGAACAGAATGCTTGAGATGTGGTGTGACCAGCGTGCTATCTCCTCACTTGTTCTGTGTCCTCTTCCTCTCTTTAAGGAAGCCAAAGCTCCTGAAGGACCCGTCTTTACCGCCTTTACCCATCTGAAACAGAGGAGATACAGTGGAAAATGGGCAGGATTTAGAGCAAATCCCTTCACTTCTTTGGGCTTCAGTGATTATTTAAAGGTTTTATTATTGATGTTTGTCTTTCATGCTCTAACCATTTCCTCTTATCTATTTCTTCCCTTCAAACCCAGTTTTATCACAACAATAATAAAAAACTGTTCCTTCCTCCCATCAATCAATAGATGCCCATCCTGCTTCCAGTTTTTTGTTTCCAGAGTGCTACTCTGAATATTTTGTTACATATATGACCTTTCTTTTTGTTGTTGCCTTTCATGGGGGGCATGTTGAGACTCACTTTTCTCATCTGGAAAGTGAGAGATTTGTGCTAGATGCCAAGATTGTATTGATAAATACAAATAAATAACATAAAAATGAATATATAAATCAGATCTCCCAAAAAACATAACCAGGGCACACTTTAAAGTTTAATCTGTATTATTCAAATTTTTTCTATCACTTAAAAAAAATTTAAAATAGAATTGTTATTTATTTTTTAACATTTATTTTAAAAATTTTTTGAGTTCTGAATTTTCTTCTTCCTTTCTGCCCGTCCCCCACCCATTGAGAAAGCAAGCAATGTGAAATCATGTAAAACGTATTTCCACATTAGCCATGGTGCAAAACAAACAAACAAAAAAGGCAAGAAAAATAAAGTTAAAAAGTATGCTTCAATCTGCAGTTCTCTCTCTGGAGTGGACAGAATTTTTCATTTAGAATCCTTCTAGAATTGTCGCTCCGTCACTTTCTTAAGTCTAGACAATCAATAAAATAAGTAAATCAAGCCCTGATTTGCAGAGAGTGGGATTTCTGAAGTACAAGTGTTCACAATCAAAATTTAACAATCAGCTTTTCTCAAAACTGTGTGAGCTGGCTCCAGTACATGGATAAATGATCTCTAAGGTTCTTTTCATCTCTAAACTTATGATTTTATAAAACACAGCACAGAAGCAGGGGATAAGCAAAACAGAAGCCCTCAGAGTTAAACAAGAGGTCACAAAATCCATCCACTTTATTCAGAAATGACACAGAGGGAGTGCAAATTCACCAAATCCTTTACTACATGTAATCAGCTCAAAGCTATGCTCCACATTCCTTCCAGCCAGCCATGCCCAGCCACATATCTTGCCATCTACCCTTTTACTAGTAAATACTTACCCTGTGCTCCTCTCTTCCTCTCTTATCTCTTTTCTCCCGCCTCCACGCCCCCACTTTTCACGTTTTGCTCTGTGATCTGTGAATCAAATCAAGACTAGCATTGCTACTAGAAAGGGTAAGACAGTCAACTGCCCTTTGCTCCACTCACAGTCACAAGACCAAATCCTTGGCCACCATTCCTTTTTATATAATGTCTCCTCCTATTAGCTTGAGAGCAGGGACTTTTGTATCTGTTTCCCACAAAAAATGGCAGTGGGCAACTTAACAGAAAATCCATAAAAAAATTGATGTAAAAACTGAAAAGAGTTTAGTGGTATGGGTCCATTCAGTTTAAGAGCAAACTTTACACCTCAGTTGGCCCTAAGGGCTTCAAGGCATTACAGCATAGGGTAAAAATATAACTTTACAATGATGACCTGGAGTTGTTAAGAAAAAAATTTAAGTATGAAATATGTTTGAGATATTCCATTTAAGAAGGCAGTGGAACATGTAATACATTTTAGAAAGACTCTCATAAAAATTATAACTAACAGTGGGGGCCCTGGGTATCCCCAAATTGGTCAATATCCCTGAATACCTCAGTGTGTCTAATCCCTATTCACAGCTTCTTATAGAACTGTCATCTAGCTTGGTGCCCTAAAAATAAATTTAAGACACTAAATAAGTTTCCAATGTAGTGGATGGGCTCAGAAATCAGAGAACCTGGGTTCAAATCTTGCCTCTGATTACTACCTGCGTGATGTTGGGTGGGGAAGGCTAAGTGGGGCAGTAGATAGAGCAGGGGGTTTGGCATCTGGATCTTCCTGAGTTCAAATCTGGCCTTAGACATTTACTAGCTGTGTGTCCCTGGGCAAGTCACTTAATCCTGTAACCCTGTTTGCCTCAGTTCCTCATCTGTAAAATGATCTGGAAAAGGAAATGGCAAATCCAGTTCAACATCTCTGTCAAGAAAACCCCAAATGGGGTCATGACTGAAAAGCAACTCAACAAAGATGTTGGGTGAATCATTTAATATCCCTGGGTCTCAGTTTCTTTATCTGTAAAATGAAAGGTCCAGACTACATGGCTTCTGAGGTCCTTTACGACTCTAGATCAATGACCCATGGACCTGGGCGATACCTGTCATCTTTGTCCTTTTCCTGGGGGAGACAGTGTGCAGTAAAGATATTTGCCAAATGGCTTGGCCATCTGAGAACATGCTCAGATAGCTGGGGAGCAAGTGTTCTGTTTTAAAGGAAAGATAGCCTTCTGGCTTCTCTAGCAGTTTCCCTCTTTTCCCCAGAAAGAGTTTCAGATCCAAGGGAGTCATCTTCTTGAGACATGGAAGGGAAGCTCTCTACATTTGTATCAGGCTGTGTTGTGAGCCTGATTTCCATTCCTGGCAGGAGCCGATTGTTCCAAGTGTCCCAGAAGTAGCAGGAAGCCATAAAAGACTGGCTGGTGCCTTTGGAGAAATTTTATTTTAATCCCATTTTTTAAGCTGTCCCATATGTTGATGGCTTCGTATTTTCTATCTTCTGTCTCCTCCTTTTTGCAAAAAAAGAGAAGATGGCAAGCAGTTCAGCAGTGTGAGCATCATTAGATCTTCCTTTCCCCCTGAGATCCCTTCCCCCATCCAGAGTTCTGTTGGAGCCAGCTTGTACAGATTTTTGAGAGCCGGTTGTTTAATTTTATGTTGAACATTTATACCTCAAAAATCCTAACTGCTACAAATTAAGGTTTGATTTGTTGTTTTGTTTTTTTGTCTAGACTTAAGTAAGTGATGAAAAAATGTAAATGATGCAGATTAAATTTAAGATTGTCATATATGCATTCTTCCCTGTCACCCTCCCAGAACTGGTTGTTAAACATTTACCAGCATATCCCTGCCTCCATCACACCTGGAACAGAAGAATTGGAATTTCAGATACCAAGACCTTTCTTCACTGAGCTGAATATAATGATAGTGCTATACCCTGAGATATGCTCCATGCTGAAGGAGAAAGCAGATAGCTCTTAATCTGGCTTCAGAGGAGCCCTCTGAGGATTCTGGATCCTGTTCAGGGACTTACCTGGCACTTCACATACTCATGAAACAATAGGAAAATGATACCTTCTTTGCCCAGCAAACTCCTAGCTCCATCTGACCATCCCCATAAGGGCATTTCAAATCTAAGGTACAATACCATCTCCTGGCAATGGTATATGATGTTTCCTGATCCCTGCTCTTCCATAGCCTCTAAGCCTCATCTTGAATCTTTTTGGGAGAACTGTTTTTGAGGGTTTGAAAACTCTTCTCAAGGCTCAGGAATAAAATTCTCCTTTTTCAGGGGGACCAGCTGAGGCAGGAAGAAGACAACTTGGTCCCACTCAAATGATGAATCCTTGGAAACAAACAGGATTATTTTGCTTTTTTATCTCCACTGTAGACTCCCAGGGGATAGTGACTAAATCCTCTACCTCAATGTTTAGCACATAGTAGGCTTTCTTTCTGAAAAAAGAAATTAAATTGTGAACTTGATAAACATCAGCACACTTTAATGCCTGTATATACAAAGAAACAGAGAAAAAGAGCATTGTAAAAAAAACCGGTGAGTTTCATTGTACCAGTTTCTAGGTGGTACGATTGGCTAGAGAACTGGACCTGGATTCAGGAGAGACCTGAGTTCAAATCCAGCCTCAGCCACTAATTAGCAGTGTGATCCTGGGCAAATCATTTAACCTCTTTCTACCTCAGTTCCTTCATCTAGAAAATAACACCAGTAATAGCACCTACTTTCTAGAACTGTAAGGAGAAAATGAGTTAATATTTGTAAAGTGTGTCACAAACCTTAAAGTGCTACATAAAAAGCTAGCTATTATCATTATTGGGCTGCTAGGTGGCACAGTGGATAGAGTGCTGGGTCTTGTCTTTCTGGGTTCAAATCTGGCCTTAGACATTTACTAACTGTGTGTCCCTGGGCAAGTCACTTAACTCTGTAACCCTCTTTGTCTCAGTTTCCTAATTTGCAAAATGAGCTGGAGAAGGAAATGGCAAACTACTTCAGTATCTTTGCCAATAAAACTGCAAACGAGGTCCCAAAGAGTCGCACAATACTGAAACAACTGAATTAACAACAACAACAAATTACTAAGTTTAGCACGGTAGTGTCAATACTGCCTCAGTGTTACTTTTTAAAATTCGTCCTCTTCTCTTCTGTGTATTTTCTGTGTATTTTCAAAAGTTTCATTGCTGTTCTTGTCTTTATTTTAGGAGAGTATCACAATTCTTAACAAGCCCCCTCCCTTCCGTTGGGGAGTTCCCTCTCCTTTGTAACAAGTAGAGTCAATCAAAACAAATCCACATATTGGCTGTCACTTAGTAGGTTTTCAAGTTAAGTATTGGTTGATTGCTTAAGTTAAACCAAGGAATCGGAATTTTCCCTCTTCCTTTGCTTCAGGAGAGGGAATGGGGGTGGGGTGTGTGTGTGGAAAAACCCTGGTAGCAACAACCCAAAAAAAACAATTCAGGGAAAACATTATTAGTTGTCATCTGTGACCCACAGCTGGATGACCTCTAGAAAAGAGGCCCAATCCCCAGGACAAGGGCTGCTCCCACAAGAGCACATCTGGACTATTGGCAAAGAGAGCTTCCCCAGGGCTCCTAGCAAGGCCCTAGACTTTCAGGGCTAGAAGTCCCACTCTTTCCCACTATCAATCATATTGTTTGGGCCTTGTTATGAAATACAACAGTCAGAAGTCTGAAACTACTAGAAGGCACGGAAATATCTTCTGGTTTAATTAGCAGGGGAGAAGTAGTTCTGAGCAATCCCAAGAGTGTTTCATCATTGGCTGTGACTCAGGTTTTAGGCTAGACCTGTGGACTCTGATGGCTGTACCTACATGGGCTTTTCATAGATGTGTGTGCATTAGTATGACTGTATGAAAGTGATTATATTTGTGTTGGGGGGAGTATAGGTACATGTATATACTGGCTCGGTGACCTTGAGGGAGTCAATTTCCTTATCTATAAAAGTCCCTAACTTCTCTAGTCAAGTCAAGGTGAAAAAAATCAATAAGCATTTATTAAGTTCTTACAGTGTCAAGCACTGTACTAAGTGCTGGGAATACAAATAACAGTAGAAAGAAGAGTCCCTGCCCTCAAGGAGCTTACATTCTAGTGAGGGAAGATAATACAAAAAGGGAGCTGAAAAGAGGGCAGGGCAGAGAAGGAGAGAGATATTAAGGCAGAGAAAGTGAGGAGAATCAGGAAAGCAACTTGGAGAGGAATGAAGACAGCTGGCCTGGGCACCTCCTTAAAATCAGGTTCTGGGTGTGTGTGTGTGTGTGTGTGTGTGTGTGTGTGTGTGTGTGTAAGGCTGTTTAATATAAACAAGACCACATGGAATATTTAATAACTTATATTTTTATTTTAAGTTTGGTTGAGAGAATTCAACATGATATAAATATGCCAAGAATTAGTCAATCAATTAATTAATTGAAGAAACATTTCTTTTTTTTTATTTTTTGTTTTGGCTGGGCAATGGGGTTAAGTGACTTGTCCAGGGTCACATAGCTAGTAAGTGCTATGTGTCCGAGGCTGGATTTGAACTCAGGTCCTCCTGAATCTAGGGCTGGTGCTCTATCCATTGTGCCACCTAGCTGTCCCAAAAACATTTCTTCAGCACTGGCCAAGTGCCAGGCACTGTGCTGGGAACTGAGAATACAAAGACAGAAATGAAATGATCCCTGCCCTCAAGGAGTTTATGGAATAAAAATGGTTCCATTTTCTAAGGAATATCTTGTATATATGAAATATGATGCCTTTCCCCCAATTCGTAATGGACAAACTTAGAATCTCTGCATTGGAAGGTACCTTAACCTTCCTTCTGGGCAACCCTTAGCAGAAGTACCAATCTCTTGTTCAATATTCCTGTCCCAGTATAGTAGAAAGAGCCCTGGACTTAAAGTCAAAAGACTTGTTGTTATTGTTTTTTAAAAAGTTCTGCTGATAGTTTTGTGGCTGGTGTAGTCAATAGACTACCAGGCTTGGAGTCAGGAAAATCTGAATTCAAATCTGGCTTTAGACACTTACTAGTTGTATGACC